ATCCCTCGGGTGAAGCGTGGCGGGGAGGCTTGGGCCAGCAGGGCAGCCCTGCAGGGGCTGATGAGGCTCTGTGGTCTGACAGCAGCTTTGTGCTGACAGGCGTGGGGACGAGCACGCAGCCGGCTCCCGGGCCAGGTTAGACAAAGCTGCTCGAGTCTTTCTGCTGTCTGAGCTGTTCATTTCTTTTTCTTTTTTTTTTTTTTTTTTTGAGAAGGAGTATCTGCTGGGAAAGCAAAGCGAGATTAAACGACCATTTCATTTGCCTGAGTACAAAAATAGTTCCCCAGTGATTACTCTTTCCTTCCAAAAGGAGGTTGTAGCAAGGTGGGGGTCGGTCTCTTCTCCCAAGTAACAAGGACGAGAGGGAACGGCCTCAAGTTGCACCAGGAAAAATTTCTTCACCAAAAGGGCTGTCAAGCCCTGGAACAGGCTGCCCAGGGCAGTGGTGGAGTCACCGTCCCTGGAGGTGTTTAAAAGACTATAGATGTGGTGCTGAGGGACGTGGTGCAGTGCTGGGCTTGGCCGTGCCGGGTTAACGGTTGGACTCGATGGTCTTAAAGGTCTTTTCCGACCTAAACGATTCTGGGATTCTGCTTTATGTGGAGTGTGTGTCTGTGGGAGGGAGAATTACCTGGCCATTGCTTTGCTGCTGAGCCCTTCAGAAGGCTTACAGTAAAATCAGCCCCGTAAAGCACTTGCCTGCTTTGCAGTGCCCAGTGAAACACACAGCAGCAGAGTGCTTTGAGGAGGCATTCGGTTCCTGCCTGCTCGGTAGTTGTGCCAGAAGAAACGCTGCTTTACGTGACATACAGGGCTTAAGTGGCAGGCTTGAATGTTTCCCTTTTCTGTGTTTCAAGAACACAAGTAGAGAACAGCAGCCTGAAGATGAGTGCTCCCAACAAAGCAGGTCTGCCCTGTGCTGGTATCCAGTGTCCTCTCTCTCTAGCCAGCAAGTGTCAGAAATGATTCGGTGCATTTTGGAGGGCAAAAGAAGCTCAGTTCTATAAACCAGGGTAATTGTACAAGCGAATCGTGTTCTTCATCCGGACTGCAAAGCCCTGACATGGAAAGGAGCAGGTGAAGCAGAGGAACCCCTTGCTGGTAGCATTGCCTGAGCCTGGAACGGTCTGGCCTTGGTGCTCAGAGCTGGGGCTGCCCGTGGGGCTGACGTATGTGTTTTATGGGCTGTATGTGTTTTATGGGCTGTCGCCTGTGCCCTCGCCCTCTGCAGGCCCCTGTAAACAGCCGTAGCGATGCCCCTGGGGCGTGCAGGCAGCAGAGCTGCCCTTCGCGCCAAAACCAGCCAGTTCCTGCCCTGCCCCTTCCCTTTTCTGCATTTTGTTTTACCTGCCAGTCGCCTCCCCTAAAGAGCCAAATGAGAAGGCAGAGTGAGCGTCATCCAGAACGGGCGGCTTTCCTCGGCCACCCATTTTTTTTCTTTTTGCAGAGCTGTGAACGCGGTGACAAACGCCGTTGCGTTGTGTGTGGAAGGCAGGGAGGCAGCGTTCCCGTGCGGGCGGGGGGGCAGCATCGCCCTGCCTGGGTGTTGCTCAGGGCTCTTCTTGTTTTGATGTGTTGAAACATCCCCCTCCCTCCTGCGGATGCTCCCCGTAACCAGGGTGGGAGCACCGCTCTGCTTCCCGGTGGAGCTTGTGCGCAGCCGCCGCGCCGTGCAGGCAGCGGGGGACACCTGCGAGGGACAAGCGGTGACCTTGGGCGCGGTGTGATTTGCAGCGAGGCGCCCTGCCTCTCTCACACCGTTCCTGAGAGTAATCTGAAAGCTGCTCCCTGCCTGGGGCCAGCAGTTTCTTTCTGACCTCCTGCCTGAAGGACACCGGTGGCTCCTGCGGGGCCCTTGGGCCGAGATGCGGGGCTGGGGCAGGACCCGGCAGCGCTGGGAGCCCGCGGGAGGTTCATCAAAGGGCTCGGCCCAACCTGATCGACCCCCTGGTAAACGCTGGGGAGGGGGTCGTGGCTCTAACGGCACAGCGGGGGGGAAAGCCATAGGTAGAGCTGTTGGCTGTGAGGGATCACGCTGGAGCAGGGGCTGGGGGAGCACCCGGGCTCCTCCTCGCGCCTTGCCAGCCCAAACCAAGGGTGACCGCCGCGCCCGCAGGCAGCTGTCCTCTCCTCCCTGCTCCCAACGCTGGTTTTCCCCCTCAGCCCGCGGCGGTGCCGCTATATCGAGGGTCTCCACGGCCTCGCGCTTTCAAATCCGTCTCGGTGCCCCGAGGGGTGACGTGGGGCTGCTGTGCTGTGGTGGCTTTTGACACCGTGCTGACCGGCGAGCTCCTCCCTGCTCAGACCTCGGCTCTTCTGGATTTGGCAGCGCAGCGTTTTGTTTCCAAGAAGCTCCTTGTTTATCCGCACGAAGAGCTGCATCAGTTTCAGTCCGGGTGGTGAAGTGCTGCAGGAATATGCGGTTGGAGGGGGGTGGGGGGCAACTGGTTTCCCTTCTCCAAATGCCTGCGCTCATCAAGACTCTCTGGTAGGTTTGTCTACGTGTGGGACACCACATCCAGGAGGATTTTGTACAAGCTGCCAGGCCACGCTGGGTCGGTGAACGAGCTGGCTTTCCATCCGGAGGAACCCATCAGTAAGTCATCCCCGCCTCGAGTCACCTGGGGAAATCGTTTCAGGGCTGGCTGAGCGGCTGATCCTCTGGAAAACGGCCCCAAAACCGCCCTTGGCCCAGAGCCCCCAGTATCAGACAAATGTAGGGGCAGCAGACTCCTGCTTGCTCCTCTCTGGGTGTGCCCTGGGGTCCTGGCTGAGCGTGGGGGCTCTGCTTCTGTGTCCTGCCCGAAGAGAGACCTGGGTGGGGGCACCTGTACACTGGGGGTCACCTGTGGGTGGCCGTGAGCCGTGGCTCGGCTTCCGCTGCCTAGGGCTGCTCCAGACTTCCCAAGGGCCGTGCAAAAAAGGTTTTGGGGTACCTGGCTTTGGACACCAGGGATATAACCCCACGTTTGGTGATCCCATGAGGACTGGGAGCACGTCTCCAGCCTGGGGTCTCTTCACTTACCCAAAAGCTGCAGGAAGCAAAGGCGGCTCTTTGTGCCCTGGGGTTTGTCCCCGTTCTAGAGGCATCCGGCCCGTGGCACCGCGTATCGGTGCGAGGTGACACACTGCTCCTGGTGGCTTTTCGAGCACCGTTTTAACCACCTGCGTCAGCCCAGACCCGATTTCCTATCGGGTCCTGGGCGCAGAGCGGGCGGCCCCGGCAGGACCGCAGGGTGCTGCTTGTTTCTGTGGAAACCCGGGCACCCTCGGCCGGGTCACCGCATCGCTCCAGCCGAAAATTGACAGGAGTCCACCCCGAGAGCTCAGTTGTGCTGAGGAGGACGGTCCCTGCGGCAGGGCCGTGAGTGAGGGCTTTGTTCCCTGGTTATTCACTGCCCAGTCTGCAGGCAGGAGGCTGCGCTGGGCGAGCCGGGCGCTCTCTCCGGTTTGGGGCGGGTTGGTGGCGGTGGTGTTCTGCTGAGCCCCTCTGTGCGAGTCCAGCACTCGGCTGAAAATAAAAATGAGAAACCTCTCGGGGCGCTGCACGGGAGTTACGCCGTGGGTTTGTGTTCACGGCTGGGACCGCTCATCCCGTCGGCCGCTGCGCCCGCTCC